TCAAGCGTCATCAATATGTGAATGTATACTTCTTGGTAGAAAAATCCCATTGTGCATGATTGTCTATTGAGCTGGTTTCTAAATCAAGATATCTACAAATAGATCACTCAAGCAGTCGGCGTGCAGGCGTTCATCCGAGACTAAGTTTTTTCCCGGCGCTACTTACTTCATATAATTATTGCAAAGCTCATTAACAACCCTTTAATTGCTAATTGTATATGAAATAATTAATATTATAACATTATTAAAAAAAACACCTGTTTATTCTAGTGCTAAAATTATAAAATCAATTATTAAACTGAATAAACAGTTAAACATGATTTCATAAATGAGGTCTTATTTTAAATTCACAATAAATAAATTTAAAAAAGCAATACAAAAGATAAAATTAATTAAAAAAACAAAAGTACTGAAAAGTTATTTGAACCTAAACCAAAACCCCAACCGCCAACCGAATACGTCAAAATAAAAAAAACCCTGAAATTCTCATGCGATAGGCCACAAGAAACATTAAACCTAACGTCTGCAAATTTAACATAAAATGGCGTTTGGAAATTTATGCCTACTAAGAACAGCTATCAAATATTTATATGTGGCGATAATGCTTCTTAATAAAATCTACCTATTAAAAATTAAATGTATGAGGATAAAGAAATTTCCTTCATAAGATCACGCATCTGCCTGCTGTATTACGTGTTTTTTTTGTTAAGGTTTACATTTTGATCGATCTGAAGTCTCTCACTGTACATATATAATGATTTATTATATATATCTGAACTTAACGCATTTATGTTACGTTGGATTAAATGTAAGAATGAGCGAGTGCCTTTTTATGAGCTAATAGTTAAGATACTAAAATAATTATAGTGTGTAGTCAAAAATTTCTAATTGTAAATATAAGGTTCCGCATTGCGGGAAACTAGTCTGCAGGACATAATGAAATGAATAGTATTCAGTTCATTTTTAAATTAATGTTTTGGTTGACAACAAAATTTAAATAGCTTATCATATATGTATAAAGAGTAACCCTTTCGATGTCCCGAGCAATACATATAGGTCATTGCTATTGTCTTACTATTGTGTCTGCGAACTGGACAGTGGAAGTGTTAAGATGACAGTGACCATGGGCCTATAAAGCACAGAACAATCGAAAATATATTCAATAAAAGGTAAAATAGAAGCCATAAATCCCTCAAACATAGTTTAATTTATTAAAATAATGACATTCACATGAAACTCAAGTCAATAAGCAATTATAAGATTATTTTAAGTTTCAATGATGTGACATACATTAGTAAAATGAGTGTGTCAACTTATAAATCATATAAGCTAAAGAATTATGAGAACTATCTAAAAAATCTTCTCACGGCGTCATCGTTGTGGTGTGACAAGAACAATGATTCGTTTCACACCTGCGTGACAACCGATAAACTGCTAGAAGTAGGAAAATCAGTGTGAGATTGGTTTTGCCTGCTTTTCCATTTTTAACAAGTTTAATAGGATGTAAACAAATAGTTTTTTAGGTTTTTATAATAATAAATAATTAGACAAAAAAATACACTGCGATTGACACAATGGAATCATAGTTTTAAAAATACAGTATATTCTTAAAATAATGGGAGCATTGAAGAATATTTTTTTATAGAAGAGGCAAACGAGCATGCGGCTCACCTGATGGTATGTGATCACCGTCGCCTATGAACATCTGCAACACCAGCGGAATTGCAGATGCCTTGTCGACCTTTTAGAAAGGCTCTTTTCTCGAAGGTTCCTAAGTCGTATCGGCATTATGCAGGTATAACAACTAATAACATCTTAGCAAGTATGATGGATAAAAACAAGTTTTTTAATATTCTATTACAATATGCAAAAATCATTGAATAGTTAATATAAGCAAATTTAAACAGCTCGTTAAAGCAAGTGAAAGCAATATACAGAAAACAGAACATATCTATGTACAACTAAACGACGTAACCTTGTATGAACGTAATTCATCAACGCATCACATAGTTCATGAATGAACGCGGGCATCATTGACATCGACGCCAGCGATCGCCAACGACTGACAATTAAAATTCTTGCAATTAAATTTCATTACACTACATGCCATTAAATATCGCACTCCACTATCCATTTATGATGGGCTTCTTCATTATAGCTTTTTAGCTGCCAGGTGTCACAAATTAGTGATTCCACAGCAGTTATTAAAACGAGTTATAGTAATGAAAGAGTGGAAATAAATTTAACCAAATTCAGCATTAACAATGTTAAAATTGAAATTCTCACACCGACGATCGCGAAGTTAGTGTGTGTGTGAGCAATTAAAATCAAGAATGTGGACGCCACTGACATAGTCCACTTCACTTCGTAACAAGCCGCGTAAAAAAGATTTCATTAAATATTGATTATAATCATAATTTTCTTACTGCTAACTTAACAAATTTATTACACAGTTACAGAGGCATGACAGTGGCAAAATTGCGCCGCACTTCAACTATCAAAGATTTTAAATTAAATGACAAAATACATAGTAGATCTCTTTATTAGAAAAATGATTATAAAACAAAAAAATGCACAAAAATAATTAATAATTTGAAAAAGGGGTCACTGAAGACTATGTAATGGTCTTCTCGAAATCTTGTCGTAAGCGAAAGTAAATACTTGAAATTTGTCATCTGAGGAACAGCAACGGGGCTCTCGAGAGAGTTTACAGAGCTGGACGACTTTGGCACGGCCCGATCGCTCACCACCAAGAGCACTATATCAATCACTTAACAATCGTACCGCATGCCACTTAAATAAATTTATAACATATTAAGTACGTTGAAAATAAACACTTTACCGTTTATGATTTATTTCTTGCGCGGATGAATTATGGATGTCGCTTATTAAAGTGTTCTAGAGCGAGAGGTCCGAATTTTTATCTCTTTTTGTAGAGATTTCACGTGCCACCGCTACCGATAAACGTTTTATTGGAGTAATTAAAACTGACGATTAGCGTTTGTACGTGTTACATGTGTGAAGTCATGACTCATGATAAATGTGACATTTTACAACGTAATCGCGCAATGATATTTTTATTGTACTATCACTGTCAACCGATATTGGCAGCACAATGATAGAAAATTTATTTGTCTCCGATCTATACAAAGTTATACAAATAAACAAACCTGACTCAATGTTAAAGCATATAAATTATAACAAGTGGTCAGTTCCATGACTTCTCGGCAACATATCTGTTCCAACTATCATGCCCTGACCCTGGAGGTCATGACTGTTCACATTATTACGGCTATAAATACAATTTAATTTCATTAATTAGCTTGCAGTGAAGTCTTTGACTGATAACGTATCATTAAGTCTACTTTCTATATAATAACAATAACGAAAAAAAAACACCCCGCAGCAAAGTTACTTCCGTCAGAACAAATTGATATTAGCCATTTTGACGTCGGTGAAGACGTCAAAGTTGTTTTTTAAATTTCCTGCTACCGCAACATGTCAACGCCTATTGAGCCTATTGTGTCTGAAAAAAAGGAGAAAACCCACAAATATATTGCGGTATAATAATTTTATAAGAAAATTACACAGCACTCGATTGTTGGTTTGTGTCCAGATTACCTGTTCCACAAAGCCCGAATTGTTATAAAATGACTCCATTTAAAGGGCTTTTTTGTTGGTAAAATAATAGTTGTTACTACGTCGATTTACGTTATCATATTATTATCGGAACCGCATAATGAAATATTGGTTAAATGCATCGCTTTGAGTACGTACTTACTTTCCAAATTGGTATATTATGCTACGTATCTGGTAAAAAAATAAAAAAGTTAACAAAATATACTTTGGTGATTCATATGGATGGATTAAGAAATATGTATAATTTGTACTATGTTTATAAATTTGTCTTTTTGCGTGATTTTGACATGTAAAAACACCATGAGAAAGTTATTTTCAGAGTATAAAAAGGCCGTATGACTGAAGAGACGCACCTGTCCCCATTATTCAACAGTATTAAAAAGAAAAAACTACGACCAAGTGCGAATTGCACTCATGCACACATGTACGCTTAATATTTTTTAGTCATCTATAAAATTTAATGACTTATGAGCTTGATACTTGTGATTTTCTATAATTGATCGTTATGTATATTATATTATACAGAATTTCATAGAATACAGAAAGGATTCATATTACACAGAATAACTCAATAGCGTTATTTAAACTTCGGAAGCGTATACATATTATTCACGATGGTTTTCATCTTAAGATGCTCTTAAAAAGTTAAGACATGCTACGTTTGTCTTTAGATCACATCTAATGGCAATGGATTACCGAGTAGAACAGCAAACAGACCTTTTGCAACATAAAAATGTCGCTCACACAAAATGGCGACCACAAATCATCTTTAGCAAGTCCTTCGACGTAATGCTTTAATAACTATAAAACGTAATTAGCAACGGTAAATCTCTGGGATTGGATTGTAACCGTGGGCGTTTCGATTATTGATTGTTTACGCGTTTCCCCGATTCGCCATTTGCTCGCAGTTACCGAGTCCGAGTGAAACACTCGCTTGTTTGCACGCTGAACGCGGACTAAATTAACCCCGTATCAAACGATTGTAATTGATTCGTTACGTTTTTATATTTAATTTCAGATAAGCCAGCTAATGATGCGAATATTAATTATGCAAAATTTAACCTCTATCTGTCTATTATAGTTATAGAAAAAATTAAATATGGCAAAAGTATTTCGGCATTAACAGCCAATATAATACAGAATTTGTATACTTACTCCTATTTTTATGACATACATCCCCAATTATGCGTTTACTACGTTACCGCCTATAACTGTATCACCACTTTACGTAAGGCTAGGGTGTCTCTTAGATAAAGTTATAAACTAATAAGCCACATAAAGAGGTTCAGCAGGTGACTTGCGAAGGACGAGGATGGACATACTTTGGTTAGTTATAAAAAAAAATTGAGTTGACCACGTACCTGTTTGCTAAAAACAGCGATGTCCTCGTTAAAGGATTCTGAGGAGCAAACATCTCCGCCGGCCACGCCGGGGTCCCGCGGGGTGCATGTGGCTAGCTCGCACTTCTCAAAGATCAGCGCCAGCAGGGGAAACAAGGGGTGCCTGGGAAAAATACAAGCCATTGTAGCAGTCTTCACAAATAACCTATTAATTTAGCTTTCGCTTTTAGTAAAAAGTTAAGCAAACCATTATTTATATTTTATCTGTATACATTAACATCCATCATTCTTTTTAATGTTTTACGTGAACCCATTACACAATCACATTATTGGAAAACATCGCTATTGGTGTCAAAACAAACTAATGACAACCAGGTCCATCAACTTAATGTCAAAACTTTGACAAATTAAACAAACAATAAAGCATAAAATACAAATAAACTTTTATTATACAAGAGGCTTATGTCACTTTTCATTCTGCCTATCAGTGATCATTACACGTTATATTTAAAGACGTCACATATGTGCAATTTAGGCACTACGTTCTTGTTTAGTTCATTTAAAACAGAAATAGTGGTTTGGCGACACATAAAGCGTTTTGAGGCGATCACAAAAACGCTCAATACACAAAGGCGGTAATTGAGACGGGCCACAAGAAGACTCGATTCTCGCGTGCCCGATGCTCGATTAGATGCAGATTGTTCCGACGTGACGGCGATAATATCATCATTGTACAATTGCGTCGTGATGTGTGGAGTCGCACTGCGAGCGGTCGGGCCAGCTTTTGAATCTTACTGGGAATTATTCATTGATAGAAATTGACAGTTCTTAGCGAAACATACATACTAATTAAAATCAGGCGTCTCTTAGGTTGTGTGGTTGATTAATGATTAGTGTTTAAAATTAGATAATATTTTTTAGTTCACCGTTTGTTTAGTATAATCAAATTTTATAACAAAAAGGATATATTTTAACTTGTACGAAATAATTAAGACGTGTATTAAAATAAGTCTGTCGAGTCAAAATTAGAGAGACCATTAAATAAATTTGAATATGGCTAAGTTGCTTTCAATCAGACGCTCGGCTAGTCTCCAACCCTTTCGTTGTCAACTTACCACGCATTCGATCCAAACGGTTTGCTTCATCCTGCATCATGCGTTCATCAAATGAGTGGAATAAATTGTGTTTAAATCATTATAATTGTCTTTCCATCCGATTACAAAATGGGCGACGTCAATGCAAATGTATATAAGTTTTTGTTAAGACACTGCGTTAGAGAATCTAGGGCTACATCACCATTAACCATCAGGTATGATAATGGTCAAGTGCTGACTTAGAATATTAAAAAAATGTTAGCAGATAAAGTTTTGTTAAATTATAGAATGCGCGAATTCATCGTAAATCTAACGGCTTTCTAAGTACTTGTGGTAATTTATGGCAACATTGCAGAAAACTAGCCAACTACATTAAAATAAAATCCTCTTAAGCGCAGTTCGAAGAACACAAATGTCAAAAACCTTCCAACGCGTGTTTAGTTTCGCAACGACGTTGTTTCAGTTCGACTCAGAGTTTCCCGAGAACGAACAGTTTCTAAGTACAAAGGGTTATCGCCTGTTGGAGGTCTTCCAAGCGCATGTTATTATTACATTATTAACAAATATACAACACGTTTATGTGGAAATACATTGTTCTTTCTGTTCTCCAAAGCCTTCACAGTATTTTTAGACCGTAATACATTAAATTTATGTAATAAAAAAATACCAAAGTTTTCTTCATTCATCGGCATTTAATACAGCCTATCAAAAGTCTACAGCTGACACAAAGATTGTTAGGTTTACCCATCTCCTGTTATAGCTTCCCTCTGTTCCGACACACACTGGGATAGACGTAGGGATGATCTTACTTTATTTCCATATATCACCACTAGTATTTTTAAAAGGAAAATAAAACGAATCATTCCATTATAATTTACGAAAATTGACATCAAACACTTTGTCATAATGTTTTTATCAAGACAACTCATTTGTGACAAAGGTGCGTGGTTTTTTAATTAAAACAATAGAAACGAGAAATTAATATGCATTTTTTGCATAAAAAGCAAAATGGTTTTCCTTGTTATTCAACGAGTACAAACTTCTAAAACAACCGCACATACAACGACCCGAGGGCGAACAGACAAGAATACGATAAGAATAATACTTTAATTGCATTTACTTTTATAATGCAAAACCACATCGCGCAAAAAACACGAGCAATGTGAATAAGTCGATTACAGTAACGATTAACCTTTAAACAATGCGAAGGGAAATACTAACATCGTAAGGGCGAGGCTACGTAGCAGCGGTTACGGTGCTGGATACAACGCCAGGTCGTTAATGAGCACTACTCAAACCAATGAAAAGAATTTTATAGGTTATAATTTATATTTAAACTTGGACCAAAATGACACATTTTTTTCATAACTACCATGAAAACAAGACGTTCGATATATAAAGTCTATATTGATTTATTTACCCTTCGAAAACCTAGTCAAAATCAAGTATTTTCTTCAAAATAAACGACACAACATTTTGTATTATAGCCCACATCTCTTCGCTGTCACTCGAACCATTCCTTTCGCAGAAGCTCCTCGAACTTTCTTGAGAACTTTTGATCTGATAAGCTTTAAGATCCTCGTAAACGGACTTAAAGCGTTAAACAGCGCACCTCTGGTTATTAATCTCTACAAATGTCAGAAAAATATTAGCTCTTAACGTTGCTTTGTTTTGTGCGTAAAGAGAACTATATTGGCGGATTTTTTCTTTAAAGATGTAAGGAAGATAAACGAACACATATACGTGGTAGAGCCACACTGCAGCTTTATTATTGTTGTAGCACGAATGGGTCGACTCGACCGAGAGAGGTCCACGCTTCCACAGGATACCAGAGTGAAATACCAGCTTAACGCTACGGTGTTTCATGTCATGAGTGTAGAGAACCGGAAACCCTTTTCAGTGGAAACGAGGCATTCCATCTTAGTTATAAGGGACGATATTGCGCCTGCATTTTATATTTATTTTGTATAATATTAACAAATAATACAAAAATAAAAAATTTGAGCATGACTATATTATATGCATATATTAGTAGATCATGTGTAGCGTCCATGTCAGACCTATGCTGGTAGTTGTTGGGAAGTAGCAATGGGCCGGTCATATAACTCGAAGAACCTACAACCGATGGGGAACAAAAGTTCTCGAGTGGCAGCCTCGTACCGGTAGACGAAGTGTAGGGCGACCCCTCACCAGATGGAGTGACGACCTGGTAAGACATGCAGGAAGTCGATGGATGCATGTGGCTCAGGGCCGTGCTTTGTGGCATTACTTGGGGGAGGCCTATGTTCAGCAGTGGACTTGTGAAGGGCTGTAATGATGATGATACTTGATACTAAAATATGACGATAATGATGATATTTTAGCATTAAGATCTTCATACGATCTCAATGGATGAAAATGATTATTTATAAGATTCTAGTAAAAAACGAGCTAACAGTCAACTTGGTAGTAGCAAAGTGTGCTGCTATCTATGGACAACTGAAATCCACAAAAAACAATGGCCATAAGGGCATTCCTACTCCTGGGTTTAAAGTTTCATATGCACACCTGTGTAGTGATCTATGTCCGCACTCAAGGAAGAAGACATTCGTTGCGTTTTTAATAGGCAGCAAGTCTGTACATATAGTCTAAGCTTCTGAGGTTTAAGGTGAAATGCCTTACAGCCTATAGTTAAAATGGCTCACCCTTCTAACGGAATACTGCAGTGGACTGCTTGGCGGTAAAATTATACAAGAGAATTGTAACAACACAGACAGAGTCCTACAGAGGAAATAATTCCTGTAACACAAATCTATTTGATGTAAAGTGAGTTTTCTGCTTTAAATCAATTTCCATTCATAGTTAGTTACAGCCTATACACGCTCCACTGCTAGGCACAGGCCTCTCATTTCTGTGAATGGTTTTAGGGCAAGGAAGGGTCCGCCACACTGCTCCAATGCGTTTTGGCGAACTTCACGTCTTCGAAATATTACTTTGTTCTTAATTCTTAGATATGCAAGTTTCCTCACGATGTTTTCCTTCACCGCCGAGCACGTGGTAAAATTAATAAAATGAATATATATATATATATATATATATATATATATATATATATATATATATATATATATATATATTATAAAAAATAATTAAAATTGCAATTAACATTTTCATTAGGGCCGGTATCCATTCGTAGATTGACGCAATAGCTGCCCATTTTAATTATATTTTTTGTTTATTCACCAGAGAAACAGACCGGTTTAGCCTTAAGGCATCATCAGGGTATATAAGTAAAAAGAATAAGGCTTAAATAATAATGTTTTATTATAAACAACAACTAAATTTACATTAAACAAACTACACGTTGGTTTGACTTTATGTACTCGTAATTCATATTATCATTTGTCATTTATTTATTTTTATTAACATTTTTATTTATACTACCGTGTATTTTAAGAATTAATTACCACACGCATTGCACACCACCCAATTACGAGTAATTACAAACAGGTAGATAAAGTTAGAATACATGAACAACTACTATAAAATTTTACTAACTTTATTTATGAACATAGGTATTCACTGTGTTCACTGAAACAAATAAATAGATCTAAATTAAGTTTTGTAAAAAAAATTAAGTCTTTATAATAAAATTTCGTTCTAAAATTGTGATCGATAACTCAAAATACTTTAAGATAATGTGTTACTAGATAAGAAATATAGGTAGGTCAACATTTCGGCTACCGTGCATGCAGTATCTGATAGAAATAATAAATACGATTAAGTCGTCAAAAACATCTGATAAGACGAACATTAAGCAGTTGTTATGACGACCAGCATAATTAAATAAATAACGCACGATTGTCACTATATTAAAACCGTGGCGATCGCTTTTAACAAATCATTTACACGTGCAATTCCTTTTTAATGGGAAAAGTATTTTTTTTAAAACTACTGTAAGCCATTCTTTGACCATCATCCCACCGGATAGCAAGTGGTGATGCAGCCGAAAATGTTAAAAAGCACTGACTTAAGAAAATCCCATTCACTCTTGCTTTAAGGGCACCCACATTGCGAGCGGATGACATGACATACTGGCAACTTTTTCCACTCACCCTTTGCTGTACGCATGACGAATGATGAAGCATATCGTTTGATTTTAATTCGTGGTAGGTCGAGCAGCAGGGTGGAGACTGTTCGAACTATCTGCTTGTCTGGTGGTTGTTAACTTATTCAAAAATAATTATAGGAGTGTTCAATCAAACCGCCCGTAGGTTTTGAATAAACTTTGAAGTAATACAATGTGGTTTTTTAGGCACAACGGTCTAAACGCTACTATGCGTGTATTAACCACTCGTAGTTAAAGGAGAAAGAAAGAAAGGTGGTATAAAGTTAGGAAATAATACATATTAAATAGTGGAAATATCTTTTAAAATATCTTTCATTTGAAGGGTCTATGCACTTACGGAATGTTTATGTCTACTCTAGTTTAGATTTACTCTGGTTTGATACAATACTCCTCGATCTCTCGCACAATTAAGGACATATTTTTTACCTGATGGTAATTGAATGCTATAACCCATAGATATCTCAATTAAGAATCAAAATGCGGATGCTTTGTTACGTCTGAGTACTAAGATGGAATTCCTCGTTTCCAATAAAAATGGTCTCCGGTTCTCTACGCTCACCATACAAAACACAGCAGCACTAAGCTGCTATTTTACGCTGGTATTCTGCGAGTGTGTGATTTCTTGGTCGAGCTAATCCATTGTACTACGTGTAAAATATATCTCAAGTCGTGAGATTTCTCTTGCACTCCCCATAGTTGCCTCTTATGACACCCATGGGTCAAAATGTGGCGATCAATTCTCCCACATCACCACTACGTGTCATCGTCCATAGCTGCAGCGTGGCTCGACTATGTGTAAAATTTATCTCAAGCCGTGAGATATCAAAGGTATTCTACGTAATCATCAGGGTGACAAAGTATAAAAATCATCGTGTAACCATTACAAGTCACCCTGACGATTGACCAAAGCTGGCTCATACCACAACCACGGGTCGAAATGGCACAAGGGATCCTCTTACCACGCGGCATCATCATTATATTAGAAGGATACAAAGCACACGTTACCACCAGACTCACCCGTATATGGCGTCCTTGTCGCGCTTGTGTACGAGCGGTTCCCCGGGGAGTGCGTGCGCGGGCGCGGCGGGCGGCGGGTAGTGCACGGGCGGCAGGTGCGGATGCGTGAGCCGGTGCTCGTGGTACATCGCGCCGCCCTCCATGTAGCCTCCGCCGTGGAGGCTCTCGTCGTACTGCAAATGGTAACATAGAATTGAATCATTGTTTTTGTTATTAAATATAGGTGACAAACGAGCACACAGTCCACCTGATAGTAAGTGGATGCTATGGCCCATCTGTATTTATCTTCGACTAAGGATCAAAATGCTAATACTTTGTCATCCTTGAAGACTAAGATGGAATGCCTTGTTTCCAGTAGAAAGGGTCTCCGCTTCTCTACACTCACCATACGAAATACAGCAGCATTAAGCTGCTATTTTACGCTGGTATTCTGTGACAAGCGTGGTTCTACCCCGGTCGAACCAACAATTTCTTACTACAACAACAATGTAGGCGCAGCGTGGCTCTACCACGTATATTCAATAATGATAATGATCTTTCAGACCGATTCCGGTCACCACAGCCGGTCTCAACGGAGAATAGCGATCTGCGCAGGACAGGACTATGGTGAACGAGTGTTTGCTTTGTGGAATTTTAAAGTTTATATAGATAAGTCCTGCTACAAGTATAATTTTTAAAAAGTTGAAGATCCTACTTTGTCTAGGGGTCTGTCTTATTGGGTACCACCTTCTTATAATACGATAGCAATCTGTAAGGTATACCGTCTTACTCGTCAGCGATAACAGGCGTTTGTAGCGTTCTTGTTTTAAGTTGGTTTAAGGTACCCGTGGACCGCTGTAGGCTTTTATCAGATCATTTATCAGGTGGGTAATAAAAACGTTTGTCACTTCTATTTTTATAAACAAAAGTGGCAACCAACACGTATAATAATATTGTTAACACAAGTAGAAATGACGAGCATCCAGTCTGATTGATAAGTGGATGATGTGAACCATGGACACCTACATCTATCCTCGATTAATAATCAAAATGCTTTGTCACCTTGATGACAAGAATTTCTCGCTGGTAGTCTTTGCGTACTATAGAATTACAATAGTACGTAGTCTATCCATGAATAAACCAATAAATTCCCATTATTGTTGCGCAATATATCTATTTCGTGGCTCTTCTAAGTTTGAGCTTGAAAGCTGTACCTTCAACTTCAGCCGTTATCTGATCAACTTGAACGAAGTCCACGGTTAAATACAGACAAGTCCAGGGATAGTTTGTCGTAGTCGCCAAGCTTTACAGGTAGATTGCAGACTACTTGTACCTTAAAACTGCTTCTTGTCGCCATTTTTTTACTACTAGTGTAAGAAGCTATAGCGCCATCTATCGTAAACCATAATAATTAAGTAAGTAATCATTTCTTATAATTGTCTTATTATAGTTGTGAGATGAAATTCGTAAGTGAACATTTTCGTAACTACTTTGGTTACTTACACTGAACTAATTATTCGTGTAGGCAACTCGAATTAAAATCAGTTTGTTTTATTTTTTAAAATAGCCGAGACAGTGTAGATGTTATCTTACCGATTATTTATTAACCAAAGCAAAAAACTAATTTTCTTAAACACACGAAACGCACGTTTTAAATTTTTATTACAGTTACCTTACGTCATTTCCCGCTAAAAAGATAGATTATTTATTATTACTTGATATAGTAAGTTTTTTGATAAAGTAAAAAAAAACTAGTCTCTATCGCGCGATGGAAAAAAATCGACCGTTTAATTAGTTAAGGCGCGTTGTAGGTATAGAAATATCATATTTGCATGTATGTGTGTGTGTGTGTGTTTTTTTAGGAATAAGGTGACAAACTATCAAACACTCCACGTGACGGTTAAGTGGATTCTGTGGTCCATAGACACATATCAAGATTCAAAAAAGATGAGTTGTCAATCGTGAGGTCTAAATTTTCTTTATTTTATCTTTTATCTACCTTAACGACGAACTTAGTCCTCAGGGATGACAACGCGTCTACATTTTGTTTTTTAATCGTGAATGGATCTGGATGTCTATGAGCCACGTCATCCACTTACCATCAGGTGGACTCTGTGCTCGATTGTCACCCTTATCCTTTTTTTTAAATTATTATTTGTAACCTTTTGAATAGTATAAGTTTTATTTCCCCCTCCCCTCTTTTATTATAATTATTAAAATAAGGACAATTATCTTCGATTTTTACGCATTATTTTCGAATATATAAACAGAAGAGATCATTTTATTTTATCCAGACATAAAACGAAACGCACTCAAAGCATTCCCGGTATTCCTAGCAACAACTAAAGTAAAACGTGCACTAAAAAAAGTAAAAAGTGATGGCCAACGCATGAATATTCATTGAAAATAGTTAAGTCATTGAGATCGCTATCGTGCATCGTCTGCGGCCATCAATTAAACACCTTTAAGTCTTAAAATATACTCTCAAACTCGAAAGCGGCTTAGTGAGCTTAAAAAAATATTTGACAGCGCCTCTCAGACGCTTTGTGGTAAGGGCTATTAAGTTAATGTACAACCGGACAAGAACGCATTTATATCAAAAATAATCCAAAAATAAATCGTCGAAACGTTTAAGACGCTCTACTCTAGCTTCTCGCTCGTAATCTCTTATGAGGGTAGAACGTATTTCAAACATTGGTCATAATTAAGTTATAGAAATTAAAAATTAAAAATCGCATAAATATAATGAGGTCCTATATTAACGCAAACACAACACGTGGAATAAAACTAGTTCTACGAATTTTATCGCGTTTAATTTTAACTTTTTTATTTCCCTAATTTTTGGGCACATTCCAGCACTCATGGCAACCCCGTGCGACCATGGGTGCTTTATAGCACCCGAAACGTTGGGACTTACAAAAGTTAAAATTAAACGGGATAAAATCCGTAAAACCAGTTTTATTCCAAGTTCGTAGTGTTATCTGCTTAATTATATGTTGACTGTTAGAAAACGCCTTAAACGCCTAAACGCCGGCCTTAAGTTCGCCTTTGTACATTTTTGTGAAAATTAATTTAATAAATAAAAAATGAAATAGGTAGTAAGTATTCATTGCACAAATAGTCTGATATATGTTCGTCTTAAATTTTTTGATAAGGTATACTCTTACGGAACAATAGCGACAGACGGCAACTTTTTCAGTAGGATTTTGTTATGAGACAATTTGTAACAAATTTTACATATTAAATAAATAAAAACATTCTTAAAATAGGTAATATTATCCATCAAAAGATTATATTAAATAATGTCCATATTCATTGCAACCGTTAATTGTTTAATCGATTCATAAATTAATTAAAGCATCTATAAAAGAAGTTCCCGCCAAATTAATTATCTCCATTTGACAGTCACAAAAGTGTAAGAACAAATAACATTACCGTGCCGTCTCTTCAATTCATGACATCAGAAAGATATATTCTAAACTTACTTCAGAAAAATTTTAAACGTTTATTACAGATAGTTTCACTAATTGCAAACATTAAACTCATTCTAACCTAAAACCAACATACAAACGGTCACACCCACTTGTATAAATGCTAATAAAGCACAGTTTTAGTAACAATCCAAATGTTTTCCTCTCGTTCTCTAATTCAGGCATTGTTATAACTCTATGAATATACATGAGAGTTTACTGCGCTTTGTTTATTAGCGTCGAAGTAAAAAATGTGTGGCGCGCTGCTAAATGACGCCTGAGCGCTCGAGGTGAAAAGGTTACAGTCGACCCGCTTGGCATCCACTCACGGGTTCCTTTCTAAGCATATATTATGTATTACTTAATCTTTCTTTTGCAGTGCACTATAACAGGGTTTTTTTACGGATAGTTTAATTACTTACTCATATCTTAGTTAATCAAGTGTGCAATAAAGAATTTGATTGGATTTGAATTTAATTTTTAATAATGAATAACGTACAAATAGCGAATGTTAACAGCTAATTGCTAAATATGATACGTGTTACACCATATTTCTGTAACACGCCATATTTAGCACATCTTAAGACATACTATGTATTAACTGTACACAATATAAAACAAAGTCGCTTCCCGCCGTCTGTAGGTACGCTCAAATCTTTTAAACTACGCAACGGATTTCGATGCGGTGTTCATTTATATACTTAATATATATAGAATGATTCAAGAGGAAGGTTTATATATTTAATACATGCATATGTTGTCGGAATCTAAATATCACCCGTGCAAAGCCGGGCCGGATCGCCAGTTGACAAATATTAGGCATAATTAACAAACATTAGTATGTAATAAACGACCCATCATGAAACCCAATAAATGGCACCGTAAACGAAATTATATTTAGTAATAAATAAATAAAAAACCTTAAAGACAGCAAAATTTTGATTAAAAAAGTAATGAAGAAAGGAAATCAATTTAATAATAGATATTTTTATGTTCAACTTTATTTATTTATTTATTTAACTTCATATACACATTAGATGTATATAGGCGGACTTAATGCGTGAGGCATTATCTACCAGTCTACCTTAGAGTAGTGCAGAGATAAAAGAGGTAGGTGTAGTAAGAAGTATGTACTATATATATATATATATATATATATATACATAATTCATACATACACACACACACACATATATATATATATATATATATATATATATATATATATATAATATTAAACACGGCTAACTACGAACACTAAGTTGATTCTGCCATTTTATTGACGAGCAGTTCTCGCACTTTATATTTGAACGAAATCCGGTTTTCGGTAGCTTTAAATCATGTGTAAAAATTTAAATTAGTTAAAAGGCACTATTAATTTATATAAAAATCCTTTTTTAAATACTAGGCTAGGTATAAATAATTTAGAAAATAATGAATATAAAGTTTAGGGGGACTTTTTGCTTATAGCTGTGTCGCTGTTTAGGGTTGTTAGAAGCTTCTTTATTTTTAAACGTTGTTAGAGTAATTATATTTCCATAGCAAATATTAATTGCACGTGACTGCACACTGAGCCTACAAAATTTTGATTTATTCGTTGTGAAGTATTCCTAGCTAAATGTTTTCAGTGATATGCTATTAAGCGTTGTGTCCCATTAAATTGAATTGTTGTGCGGTCATTTGTTCGCAGATTAAATCACTGAAGCAGTACGTGAAAAGCTCGC